AAAAAAAATTATTCTAATTATTGAGTTGACCCGTAAAAGTCCGTAACCCGTATAGGGTAAGGCTTAGACAATAAAAATATAAGTTTATTTTTACCTTGAACTAATTAAGCCCGACTCGTTTGAGCCTGTTACCCATGTTAAGTAGGCCATCTGTTTTGACAACTCTACGTAAATCTATATACACGGATATTAAACATGGATCTATGTATTTTAACCATAAACTAATTTTTCATCGATGTTCGATTCTTTTTAAGCAAGTATAAGAAACTATCTTCACCTTTATTGTGTTCATGTTGATCTTGATTAATTTCACTTGCTTTCAATAGCTCTTTATTGCTTCCCCTTAATGTTGTTTTTTTCTATGATTCTATTCTATATGATACTTTTTATTATTTGAAAATTAATAAATATTATTGACACCAGATTTTAAGAACTTAATTTGAATATAGAGTCATCTAATATAAACTATATGTTATTAATTAAAAATTATTAAATTTTATATTAATTATTTTTAAAATTATATCAAGAATAATAAATTCTAATTGTATAAAAAAATTTATATTAACCATGTATCAAAATATAATTTATTTTTAATCACATTTTTCTTATTTATTAACTAAAATTTATTAAAATTTATAATTAAAATAAATTATATTTTGATACATTGTTAATGTAAATTTTCTTTTACTATCAATTAATTAGAATTTATTATTCTCGATATAGTAAATTTTATTTGTAATTTTGTGATTTTATTTTATTTTATTAACATGAGTCTTTAGAATTAATTTTATATATTGAGAAGTGACTAGAGATCTAGTTAACAAATTATCTAATAAACAATTATTTTATAATATAATAAATATTTTAAGTAAAACTTTATTATTTTTAAATATTAGTTTATCTTTAACATTTTTATATAAATTTTATTTAATAATAAAAATACAGTAATTAAAAAAGTGTATTATTAATATTTTTGGTTGCCTTTTACTTTTTTTTCTTTTTCTTGAGCTTATCAAACAACATACTGGATGTAATTGGTCCACCATTAAAAATAGTCAAAGAACTTATTGCATTAATTAATTAATGTTTATAATTGTTTTAATTTTTTAAAAATTAACTAATTATAAAAAATATTTTTAGAAGAGTGTTACTAGCATTTTTTATGAATAATAATTAACTTGTCCAAATCATATTAAAATTTAATTACGCAAATAAATCGATATAAATCAATTTTTTTTAATTCATTGAAGTGCTAGATTGTGGTTGAACTAGAAAGAGCCCTAGAAAAAAAAAAAGTCCTCCTCTTTTTAATTTCCATGCTATTAGTATTAGACGACTCCATAACCACTCCACTAAGTTTGTCTAAAATTAATTGTTTAGAGTACCTAATCTCAAAGCACAGTCAAATGTTTAACTTATTTACATAATGTGGTTACCATGCTATTAGTTAGATGACTCCATAACCTCTAGTCACTAGGTTTGTATAACATATATTGTCTAGATCACCAGATTTTAAGCTCAATCGTCACTTAACTTGTTTACACAGTGTGGTTGGAGTATCCTTTCTTTTGAAGAGTATACCTTTTAGTGTTTACCATTGGATAGTTAATCCAATTCAGATAACCTCTATATAATCTCTCAGTAAGAAAGAAAACGGAGGTTAGAATTGAACTTTCCCTGTTGGAGAGTGAAAGAAAGAATATTAGAAAATTGAAAGGGAAGCATGTTTTTGTTTAGATTTTGAAGCATCTTGCTCTCCTTTTCTTGTTGATTGCAATCACAGATATATGAAATATTAATGGTGTCATCAAGTTGAACTTCAAAGCTGTATATGGTCAGGGACATGCCTTTTTCAAAATTTCTCAATATTATATATTGAATGTGTATGAGATACTTTTCAAAACCTTTTTAATATCATTTAATAGTAAATTTTAAACTTTGAAAAAAAAATGCATGTAATAACTTTAAGCTTGAGAGTAATTGAAATCTATTTTATCTAAAGTCCAAAATTTTAATTTGAAATTTATAATATATTTTATTTTGTATTAATTTAATTTATTTGATCAGTGATTTACTAATTGAATTAGTGACTCATTAACTTATAGCCTCAATTAAGTCGACCATTGATTCAAGTTTAATAACATCAATATAGACACAAGTTTAAAATTATTTATAATATGAGATATTCAAATTTAAATTTAAACATATATCACTTAAACCAAATATCTGTGGAGATATAATTCCTCTACAGATAATTTTTATTCAAAAGAAAACTTAAAATGTTAAATTGTTTTATGAAATGTCCTAAAATTGAAGAAAGATAAAAAGTGAGATGAGAAAAATCCGCAGCATCCTAGAGGGAATGGAATTACATAAGACATGTGGGACTCTACAGCTTCGAACAGCGAGGCATCTTTTGTTGTATTGTTAGTGTGAATTAATTAGCAAACAAAAACGGTGTTTCGTGAGATGTGGTTGCCAAGCAATCATGATAGTGATACAAGTTTCCTTCCCATAGGTTTCAACAATTCCTATAAATAATTTAAATGATTTTGTCTTTTGATCTAAGAAATTTCTTACCATTCACTGACTGGAATCCATCATTTTATTTTAAGCAAAATATTTTCTGTTTCTTTGTTTAAAGATTATATTGAATGGATTTTTTTTTTTTAGGTTCTTTCTCCCTTATCACTTTTTGCAGTGGATAACAGGAGAAAAAAATTAAAATTATAAATGTGCATGTCAACATGAATGTGAAAAAAAAAATATTTTTTATATTTTTTTAGATATGGTCAATTGAGATTAACTGTACAGGTTTGTAAAATTACATCTATAATAACTTAAAAAAATGCATTTTTCTGATTTATTTATATTTAAAATTCATATAAATTATATTTTTTAAAATTTTTTGTGTAGTATTGAAAATTAACTTCTTATGCTACTTTATTTTGTTACATAATAATGTGGTATTTAAAATATAACTGTATTTATTATTAAATTGCAAATTTATGAATATTTAAATTATTTAAAATTTTTTTTATCTAGTTTAATCTAAATTTAATTCGGATTGCGCTCCTGAATATAGTGAAAGAATTTATCTCTGAATGTGGTGGATGAACCTACTACTAAAAATTCTTTGTATACATAGGAACTTGAACTCAAATTCTTACTTAAATAATATCAAACTGCTTCTCACTCAAACCAATCTTCATTGATTAAATTATTTAAAATTTAACATACATAAATTTTAATATAATATATATAATATTAAATACTTATTAAATGTATAACTTTACATAATTTAATATTTAATATCAATTAATCCTATAACATTTTTATATAAAAATTAATTTTTTATATAAATAGAGAGGAGACACGCCCCTTATCCAATTATATGATAATTAATTTTTTAAGCTAAAAATATATTGAAGGAGAAAACAAAATTTAAGGTTGAGAAAAAATATTTTATTTTTAAACTTAATCTTACAGTAAGAATAAAAAAATGTTTTATTTATTTTGTGTTTTTTTTCTATTTTTAAATATACAGTACTTAAAAAATATGTTTAATATTGTATTTATTCTAATTTATTGTTTAACGTTATTTAATATTATGTTTAGATTTACATTTCTGACAATCAAACACAAATTTAAACAAAGGAAGCGAACATAATGGATTAGAAGAGGAAAAATAAAAATCTTAACGTTGAGTTGATAATTTTATATTAACTTTTATTATACAGTTCCTTTTAAGAAAAAAACATGGCAAGAGTTGATTAAAATATTGAATGTATAGTTGACTTTCTGATGTAACAAGCCATCTCTGACACAAGGGATGCAAAAGGCATCAAACAATTTCATAGTCTTATTTAATTGTTTGAAAAGATTTTTGGGTTGCTAATAGGCAGCTTTATTATAATTTATTATTTACCTTTTATCAAACCATATCTTAATTGAATTATGAAAATATAATTGTACTTGAGGATACTCAACGAATTACTAAGTGCAATCATCTATTCTTTTTCTTGAAAAAATTATAAAGTATATATTGAATAATAGATATATATTATCTTTAAAATGTACAATTATTGAGTATTTTTAATTTAATAATTAAAAAGACCCATAAGCACAACTAATCAGTAAATTATCTATAATTTTTCTAAAAAATAACATTAATTTATGTCATCAATCATTAAAAATTCATTTAATTTTTAAAAGTGATTAACATCAATTTAATTCCTTTGATATTAACAAATATAATTAATTTATTATTTCAATTAAGCAACTTCAATTTTCTCACAATAACGTTTTTGCAATCTAAAATGAAAATTGATTTGTGATGTAAGAATATCAATATCAATTTGTTTTTGAAGGACCAGTATCAAATTTATATATATTAGCCTGACAAAATGAAATGACATTTTGACACACTGTATTTTGTATTCTAATACATGACTAAGTTCATTAAAAAATTGAGTAAAGTTAACTTTGATGTAATTAATTTTAAATTATTCAATATAATTAAGATATATATATATATATATTATATATTTCAATCATAAATTTATATTAAAATATTTGTTATGGTAAGGAAAATTAATTTTAAATATTTATTAAATAGACACTAAAAAATACATATATTTTTATTGTGTGTATCAAAAATCATTTTTTAATCTGTACATTTTTACATTTTACATATATGTATAAAATTAATAGAATACATAAAATATTTAGCAATTATAATTCATCCTAAAGTAAGATAGAAACTGTACACTTTTGACTATAACCCAAAGAGTTATGAACACAAGAAAGAACTCAAAATCCTTGGACACAGTCTCAAACCAACCTCCACTCCTATCCGAAGCAGTAGTTTGAATAATTTTCAATTAAAATGAAGCAAATCCAAAACAATTACAGCATTGAAACAGTATGAAATCAAAATTCATGAACAACCATTGCCATGTTTCATCACCTAAAAAAAGAAGAAAAAGCTCAAGTTTCTTAATGATAATGGGTGGAACAAACAAACAAAACAGAGAACAAATAAGAAAAGAAAATGGGACTAGTTGGAGACTAAAATGCACTTCCCCACCTCCAAAGGCCAACAACAACAACACAAACGCTACCATGACCCTTCTCTTCTCACTTCCCTCTTCCTTCACTTGAAAAATCACACACACCCTTTCTTTCCATAACACCACGCACGCGCCACCATTTAAAACTCCACGCGCCATTTTCACCGAGAAAATGGGTTGCACGGCGTCGAAGCTGGAAAACGAGGACACCGTGCGGCGGTGCAAGGAGCGCCGCCGCCTCATGAAGGAGGCGGTCTACGCTCGCCACCACCTTGCGGCGGCTCACTCCGACTACTGCCGCTCCCTCCGCCTCACTGGCTCCGCCCTCTCCACCTTCGCCGCCGGGGAACCCCTCTCCCTCTCCGACAACACCCCCGCCGTATTCCTCCACTCCAAACCCGCCACCACCACCACCACCCCTTCCCCTCCTCCTCCACCACCAACACGACCATTCAACCCTTCACCTTCCCCCACCATAACCAGCTCGAAACTCCCCCCAATCCTCTCCTCCTCCAGCAACCACCACCATCGCCGCCGCAAACCACCGCCACCGAAACTCCCTCACATTCTCTCGGATTCAAGCCCTTCTTCAACCCCACGAAGCCATTCATCGAACTTCCCTTCAAACTTCTTCCCCACCGCACACTCCACCTACTCCTCCACCCCTTCCCAAACCTCTTCCGTTTGGAACTGGGAAAACTTCTATCCTCCTCCCCCTCCTCCAGCTTCCGATTACTTCCCCGAACCTGAACCCGAACCCGAACCTCAAACACCCTCTCAATTCTCTTACAAAACCCGAAAATCCCATAAGACCAATAATACACACGAATCCGATGGGTTTGAGTCTGAGAGATCTGAATACGATTACTTCAACGGAAAACTTTCAACCTTTCAGAACCAAACCCATCATCTTCCTGAGGAGTACACTGAGACTGAGAGAGAAGAGGTTCAGTGTAGTGAATGGGGTGACCATTATAGCAGCACCGCTTCATCTGATGATGATGATGATGATCACGATCATGATGATGATGGGGTGGAAGGTGATGTTGAGTCAAGGTCCGAGATCGGAACCCGTACCAATTTTGGGTCATCGGTTCGGGCTGAGTCTGTGGCTGGCGACCCGGTTAAGGGCTTCTCTGTAGGGAAATCGGAGGATGCTGCGTCTTCGGAAGTTATGGAGATGAAGATGGTTGTGAGGCACAAGGACTTGAAGGAGATCGTTGAAGCCATTAGGGATAATTTTGATAAAGCTGCTATGGCTGGAGATGAGGTTTCTGATATGCTTGAGATCAGTAAGGCTCAGCTTGATCGCAGTTTCAGACAATTAAGGAGTATGTCCTTGTTCATGTTTGTTTCCCTGTTTTAGTTTTTGTTGTTGTGTATGTTTTTCGGTAATGGGAAAATTCTTGGACACGATTCAGATTCTTGGTGGTTTAATTTGATGTAAATTAAGATAAAATCTCTGCTTTTGAATTTCTTGATTTGCAAAGAGTGCATTGGAGATTATGGGTAGGTTTGAATTTGACGATTTTGGTGATTGCAGAAACTGTGTATCACTCAAGTAGCATATTGAGTAACTTGAGCTCGAGTTGGACCTCGAAACCGCCATTAGCGGTTAAGTACCGGCTCGACACTGGTTCGCTGAATGAACCGGGCGGTCCAAAGAGTCTTTGTTCCACTTTGGAACGGCTTTTGGCTTGGGAGAAGAAGCTCTACGAGGAAGTTAAGGTAATTTTTTTGGTTTTGTTAGCTTATTTTTTTCTGGGTGTTTAAAATTGTAACTATTATTTCGGAGAACGTGGTTCTCTTTTTAGAACATTAATTGGTTCATATTATATTTTTCGAGGCATGAAAAGTGGAAGGAAAAAAAAAAAAGGGAAATAAGTGAGTGAGGATATGATATGCCATTGTTGCTATGCAGTGTCGTTGATGTTGGACTTTGGTAGCGTAAGGTCACCGCAGTTTTTGACTGTTAAGTGTGAAAATGACCTCTTCCCCTTTCTTTTCCTTGCCGTGTGAATTGACCAAAATGACCTTGGTTGTCGGGACCAACCTTTATTGTGTTGGTAGGAATAATGCTCCATGATAGAAACATACTTATCCTGAAAATGCTTTTACACATGGTGAGTAATGATTCAAGTGTACATTAGATGATGTGGTAAATCGTGCTTAGCTATGAATTTCTCTTGGTTTTGGATTTTATATCCTGATTTGGACAGGAGTGCTTGGTGTAATTTAGCATGAATGAAGCAATTGGGTAAATTATGACTTTTTGCTTGTGTTAATCTTATTTATGCGATATTGGTAATTTATTGCAAGTGAAATGACTTCAATGCCCCTGCCATTATACTCTTGTAAGGTGAAAATAATGGAGTGAACAGATTTAAGTTACTTAAGCACTTCCCTGTTTCTTCAAATTTTGTCGTACTTGTGATTGATTATTCACAGTCAATTGGCTCTGTCACCATTTTTTTTTGTTTTAAGTTATGAATCGAGAGCAAAGATTTTCTGTTATATATATATATATATATATAGGTTTGATTACCATAAAAAGCAGCTTTCTTTGGACATACGGCACTACAAGGGAAAATAAGAAGTAATACCTAGGATATTGTTATGGATGTTTGAAATCACCATAAATGTTGTGCCTAACTTAGCTGCATTTTAACCAAACTGAAGTCAGGTGGTTCTGTTGCATTTATTTTTAGCTAAAAGCCTAAAACCATGTGGTTTGGAAACAAGGTGTGCTAACACATTCTATGAATTCTGCTTGATTTAGAATAGAGAAGGTGTAAAGATTGAACACGAAAAGAAATTGTCAGCTCTGCAGACTCAGGAATACAAAGAAGAGGATGAAGCCAAGATATTCAAAACCAAGGCTTCCATAAACAGGCTGCAGTCACTAATAGTTGTTACATCTCAGGCTGTGTCTACCACCTCCACTGCCATCATCGGTCTTAGGGACTCTGATCTTGTTCCTCAGCTTGCTGACCTATGCCATGGGTACGTCTCTTCTGCCATAGCTTTACTGTTTTGTTGTAGCTAAATAATCAAGTTCTAGTACAATGAAATTATAATTAGACCATTATTACATCATTAATTAACAATAAAGTGGGTGACTTTGGTGATCAACAATCCACCCAATTTGACAATAAATCAGGAATATGGTAGCTTATTGAGCTGAACTGTAAGTAAATAAACTTCAATAGATTCATTGGGTTCCAAAATTGTGAAGTATTTTGGACCAATAGGAAAAAACCCCATGTGTTTTGATCATAATGTGTCCCTCACAGATTAAATGTGATATTTGAGACTTCCTTATCAAAGGCACTTTGAAGTTTCTACAGCTTGTTATGTTGCCGTGATTTAGAATCATACTGTGACTTGCTTCTAGGATATTTACTCCTGAATTGTGTAAAAGGGAACATATGTAGATGTGGAATGTGAAGACCTTGAGCTGTAACTAGTAGCTACCCCTCTGAAACTTTTAACTGAAAACAATCCAATAGCCTTTTTTTTAATTTTTCTTCCCCCCCATTTATCACATGTGAATGTGAATGTGAATGTTAGTATAGATCAAGAAAATATTGAGTGGTAGTTGAAAACATTATGGCTTACTGCTCTCATATGCCACTTGCTTTATCAGCTCTGTGTAATTGCATGTGCTTCTTTGTACCAAACTGTCCAACTACTGCCTACCACTTATAATCAAAACTTGGCCCACCACTGCACCTGTCAAGATATTATTTTGTCATTTTTGGCTCCATTTTAGCAGAAATAATTTATTGGAGTTAGGTATGTAAAAGCAACGGCTGTCAAATGGTATAACCGTCATTAGTTGATCCTAAACTATTTGAGTGCTTGCTGGGTGCTATAAGTTGTAAATAAAATAATTGGTGTTACTGATATTCATCTGTTTTACTTTATTGTTCCAAATAATCAGTTAGAGGCAATTTTGCCCTAATATCCAGAGGTTTGTATACAAACGTGGGAGTGTGATTCTGATGAAGCATTTTTGTAGTTGCAATTTAACTTTATATAAGGTAGGGATCAAATTGATGGTGTACAATTTTTCACAACTACACCACTCAAATAACTTCTTATAGAAAATGATTATGGTAATACACAGTTGAAATATAACTAACTGACCTTGCATGTAAAGTTCCAGAAAATCTAAATGTATATTATACATTGATTTTTAAATGTTTTGACAGCACCAAAGAACGATCTCATACTAATGTAAAATTTATGATCATGATTTACATGATATAAACTTTGGTGCCATTGTCAACCACTTTAATCACATGATCAATGGCAAGCAATTTCCACATTCCGTGTAAACCTTCAATGTGGTAGATGATTGATGAGCTGAGTCGGTGCATATTAAAAAAAAAAATAGGTGCATGGCAAGCGATTAAAGATTAACATTTGACAATCACAACTCTGAGAATGGGAAAGGGATTGTCTATCATCCGTTAGTGTTGGCTTACTTTTAATGAAGCTGAGAACTTAATATTTTGCTCACTTTTGAATCAACTAGGTACAGAGGTGCCTGTATGTACCTTAAGATTTAATCTCAGTGCTAGCGTTATTTACCTCTTATGTTTGTTCTGAAAATGAGGATACCCGCTCACAGATAATTGTGTTGTGACTTGTGACATGTTAAATGTAGATTCATGTACATGTGGAGATCAATGCACCAGTACCATGAAATTCAAAGCAACATAGTGCAGCAAGTTCGTGGACTTGTGAACAGATCATCAAGAGGTGACTTGACTTCTGAACTGCACAGGCAGGCAACTCGGGACCTTGAATCGGCTGTGTCGGCTTGGCACTCCAGTTTTTGTCGCCTTATAAAATTTCAGAGAGACTTTATCCTGTCCTTGCATGGCTGGTTCAAGCTCAGCCTTCTTTCAGTCAACAATGATAACATCAACAACAACAGCAGGGAACCCTCTGATGCATACATGTTTTTTGATGAATGGAAACTTGCTCTTGAGCGTGTCCCAGACACGGTTGCATCCGAAGCCATCAAGAGCTTTATCAATGTTGTCCATGTGATATCTTCCAAGCAAGCTGAAGAGCTCAAGATCAAAAAACGAACGGAGACAGCTTCAAAGGAACTCGAAAAGAAGGCTTCATCTCTTAGAAACATAGAAAGGAAGTTCTACAACTCATATTCTATGGTAGGTATTAGCCTTCCTGATTCTGCACCTGATAATGGACAAGGTTTGGATGCAAGAGACCCACTTGCTGAGAAAAAAATGGAACTAGCAACATGCCAAAGGCGCGTTGAAGATGAAATGCTGAGGCATTCAAAAGCTGTAGAGGTAACAAGAGCTATGACACTCAACAATTTGCAAACAGGCTTGCCTGGAGTGTTTCAGGCTTTGACCAGTTTTTCTTCATTGTTCACTGAGGCTCTTGAATCAGTGTGCACCCGTTCTTATGCCATCAAGTAGGTAAGGTAATTTATTTGTTCTGCATGGGATCTAAGTTCTTCATAAGGGCTGGGAATTTTTGGCGGCAAGCTCTTATTGCTCTTACTATTTTGAGTTATATTTTGAAATGTAAATATGAAGAATTTTGTGGTTCCACCTATTTTGATGGAAAAAAAAGGGAATTTTCTTATTGTACAGGGAAATTTCTTGGTTTATTGTATCAGAGGATTGCAATTTTAATATATCAATAAATTATACGCATTGTGCTTTCAGCTTCCATTTTCAGTTATTTTCCTCCATATAAATTCTCTCTGTATATTTTTTTTGTTTACCCCTTCGGATTGGATACGTGTTTATCTTGATATGAACACTGTGGGGACTAGGGAGATGCTTGGATCTTCTTTTTGAGAAATAGATCAGGCTTAAATTCAGTAAATTTTTAATTTGTTAAATCAGATTATTTGTATTTTATTGTTTAACAATATGTATTAATTTAACTTACCTATCTAATTTAAAAAATACAATTTAATAGATTCAATTGAATCACTATTATTGTTATAAATTTTATTTAAAAATGAAACATAATATATTTTAAATAGTGGAGGATGATAAACGCAAAATGGTGGGTGAGATACTTTTGAAGTTGAAAAGAAAAGAAAAGAAAATGGTGTGCTAATTGAGGCTGACAGCTAATATGGATACGAACGGGGCTCACAGAGGGCACATGGTATTGGCATGTGCATTGCAAGATGTTTAATGTCATATACGACTATTTGTATTTAAGTTATATAATTATTTTAAAATATACATGAATTTAATATTTTGATATTAATCATTTCTAGTGAAATTTAATATTTTTATTCTTATATTGAGAAAACTCTCAATTAATATATTAAATTTAAAAATATTTGTAGTCTCATAAGGTATCCTATCTATGACGTTCAGTGCGATTTTGGTAGCACGTAGTTCTATTTGTGCAAAGTTACATTTCTCATATCTTTTATTTTGTCAAAGGTTAATGTTATAATATCAAAAATTTTTATTATAACAAACAACAACAAAGTTATCTTTTTAAGTTAGTTAGTTAGATAAATCACATATATCACTCAAATCACTTAAAATTTAAATTTTAAAGTTTGGTTATGCTATTGAAATATTTTTTGTTAAAAATACTTTCTTTTATTTTGTATAATTATATTAATAATATAAAATTTTAAAAAAAATATATAAATAAAAGTCACAATAAATACACGAGAGTTAGAACAAACACTCCTTAAATTTGTAGATTTGGATAAGATTATGAGTTTTGTAAAATTTCTTTTTTTAAAAAAATATTTTTAATATTTATTTATTTTTATTATTATATTAGAAATGTAATCGTTTATTCTTGAACAGAAATATTTTTAAAAAATATTTTTTTTATCATTAAATCATATGGCCTTCTATATTTACTATTTATGTTTTATAATTTTTTGTCAAATAATATTAATTACTTTTCAGTTTAAAATTTAAATCTTGTAGGATATGTCAAATTGAACATATATTTTATATTTTAGATAAACTAAAATTTAAAAGTATTATAATGTTACTTATTATTAATATGAAGAATTATTCATTAAGTTTTAGATTTTGATGCTTGTTCTCGATAAAAATAATATGTTTTCATTCACATTTATTTCCGTAATTTACTCCTCAATTTTAAAGTATTATTTTTTATTTATTCTTATGTAATAAATAAAATATTCTCTATCAATAATAAATACATTTATGATTCTCTTTGATTCTTTAACTTAAAAAGTTTACTTGAACTTGAATGTATCTGTAAAATTCATTAAAAACCTAAAAATATAAAATTAGGAAAAATATTTATTAGACATCTAATAATCGAGATAAAAACAGAAAAACAAGAGAAATAATAAATAAAATAATGTACTGACCTAGTAAAAATAAGGAGATAAAGATAGATGAAAGTGGATCTCATATATTTATCCAAATTCAATACGTTAATTTAAAGAGATAAATCAAACGCTTAAAAGATAATAAAAAAAATCTCTTTTAACGATAACATTTATTATCTAATATCTATAAAATCAAATTTAATCTCTTCAATATCCTATATAATTAAGTGGCACGAGATACAATTAACAATTAATCATGGCAGAGATAATCTCCAACATAAAGAAACATTTAGAACCCACAACTATTGAAGAACTTGGCGACGAACTGCTCATTCCAATTTTTCACAGTTTCTCAGTTTCTTTTCTCCTTCAATGCAAATCCATTAACAAACGATTCCAACGCATGATTTCTGATCCAACCTTCTTTCACCCGCGTCTCGTGCATCACCAACCACCACCACATCATGATTTGGAAACGTGCTCTTTGTTATTCCCTCTCCTCTTTCACTTCTATTCGGGTGACAATTACCACAAGAAGATTCTTTTCTCCATAGATTCCAAAAACAAAGGTCACATGTTAAATGGGTCTTCTTTTCTCCCTTATTTTTGGCCTCAAGATAACGATCGAGTTAGAGTGAAAGCCACGCACCACGACCTTGTTCTATGCAGTACTCACAACCATTGTTACACTCACTACTTAGTATGCAATCCTTTTACGAAACAATATGTCACGTTGCCACCAATTCATAGGAATCACCCACAAGAATTGACACGTGTTGGATTCATATGCAACAAATCTAGTTCAAGGTTTCGGGTCATGCACATCCCCATCGAGTGTTTTGGGTATGCTTCAATGTTTAAAGTGCACGTGTTTTCGTCCGAGACTAATGAATGGGGTGTTACTAATGTTAATGCTGTGCCACATGCAACTTCTATGGCATACACATATCCCGGGAACGTTCTTGTCTATAATGGAAGGTTGCTTTGGTGGATGAAGGAACTTGGTTTTCTTGTGTGTGATGATCCATTTGATGGTTGGGATTCTGAGTGGAGAATTATACGTAGTAGTTGTGCTTCCTATGATGGAAGAGTAGGATGGGATTTATACAATGGGGTATGCAATGGGAAAGTTAAGACGTGTGTATTTTCAAGGACAAGTTTCTCAATAATAATCTATGAACTCGTGAATTTCGAGAGTAGCATGTGGTTGCCTAAAAGCTACCGTTTTGATCGAAAGGCTGTGTTTGGTGATTATGAGTCTAAGGGGGTTAGTTTTAGCGATACGAAGTTGCTGGCTTTTCACCCTCAGTGTGAACATATGATATATTTGTACTCAAAAAGATATATTTTCTTGTGTGATTACAAGACTCATAAACTTGTTTCTGTGTATACCTTAGCGGATGAAGATATACGCGTTTGGGGTACTGTTATGTCCTTTTCTCTTCCTGAATGGCCAACCCCAGTTCCTACCTTGGGTACAGCCAAGCCCCCTCAGGATAATTAAGTGTGTATGTATATATGATTGATTAAGATGCATACTAAAAAATTAATGAATAGATTTTTTTATTAAGTAATTAATGTTCTTAATATATTAAATTTTGTGATATTTTATATTTTATTTACCGTATATAAGTTTACAAGGGAACATCCAAGCTTTGCTGTTATAATTTTCTCCTTTATGATTCTCTTTTATATAATTTACAAAATTTTCTATATAGCGAACACTTAAGCAAGAAGACTTCTTGTCCAATTAATATTAATTGTGTTATAGTGATTGAAAAGAATCAATGAACCCGATGAGAACATAAGAAGGTAGTTGATTTTCGTTTGCAAACTTTTTATAGACTGATAATTTTTAAGCAAAATCCATGCCTTTAAATGAATGATTTTTAGAGGTTAAATCTAAATTAATAAACTTAATTGATTTTTAGTAAAGACAGATGATAAAAGTAAAATAAGAAGTTAGTTTAACAAAATGTTTCGGTTTATAAATCACAGTGATCTCTTCTCAATGATTAATATACTAGAGATAAAAAAATATAATTTATATTAATTCATGTCACTACAATGTTCAAAATTTTCACCATTAATGATTATCAAAGTAACTATTCTCAACTTCTGTATATAATTTAACAAGTGTTTTTAACTTAAATATTTTTTTAATAGTCTTTTCAGATTTCACAAATTCAATGTTTAAATTTTAAGAAACAAAAAAATTATGCTGTTTTTAAAATTTGTAACGAAGAATATAGCTATTGATTTTTCTTTCAAAGAAAATTTCAACTAATTTTATAAAGAATGAAAATAAATAAAAGTTCAAATAAATAAATATAAGTTTGAAATAACTCACAATACAATACTTGTATGGTAGAATTGATTGTTTTGAGCACTAATCATCCGAATAATAAAAAATTTATAATTATTGTACGATGATACAATGTTTATAAATTTTTGGTGATCTATTAGGATTAACACTTTGTTAATATGTTCTATTAGTTTATTCTATTAATATTTCATCTAGTTAATTTAATAAATATTAATGGTTATCTTTTTTTTTTAAATTTTTTTAAATTTTTGTATTTAATCACAACTATTGTTCATTTTAATATGAGTTGATCAAATAATAGATGAAAATTTTCTCTCTATAATTTCTATGAATTCAAATGTTGATACGGTATCAGAGTCCTCACGATCCATAGCTGTTGCATTTTTTTTATTTATTTGAAATCTCCTTTTTCATCTATTTTTTTTTCTTTTGATTGACCATGTCAGAATCCGATGAAACTTCAGACCAAAACTATGACAATTCAGACTGAAACCAAAAACCACAACCAACTTTCCCACCACCTTGTTAACTCAAGCAATCCGTACTTTCTTCATCCTGGAGAAAATTCAACTCTTGTTCTCGTCACATCATTACTTTTTGATAATAACTTTCAACAATAGAAACACGATATGCTTGTGGCTTTGGAGATGAAGAATAAAGAGCACTTTATTTTTGGCACGATTCCATGTCCAAATTCATTGGATCCTTTGTGTGAGGCATGGTGTCACTACAACAAGATGGTAATGTCATGGTTAACGTGCTCTATGACCTTTGATATCGAGCAATCTTTCATGTGGATGCTGCTGACATTTGGAGGGATCTTTACAATCGTTTCACTCATCATCGTGACAAATTCAGAATTGTTGATCTTTAGGAGAAAGTACAACAACTCAAACAAGGTGATCTCACTGTGTCTCAATACTATACTTGTTTATGAATTCTTTGGAAGGAATTATCCAGGCATCGTGCGATTTTGGTGTGTAATTGTTTTGTTATATGCTCTTGTGGTCTTATTGCCAAGATTCAAAAAGAACATGATGATGATTGAGTTA